TCAGCAAATTGACAGGACACAAAGGCTAAAAATGACTCCCTGCCTCCCTGAACAACGGTGTTGTCTGTGCTGTAAAAGACAGAAAGAAAAATACCTACAACACTCGGTATGAACATCAAGTCTCTCTCACACACACACACACACACACACACACACACACACACACACACACACACACACACACCTCCCGACACGGCGAGGCATGAAAAACCTCACCATCCGTGTGACGCCGCTGAGTTAAGCAGCTAATAGGACCATTATGCGGCTGAATGACATTCCCGTCCGCGCTGGAAAAGCGAAGGAATCTGAAGGATACTTTTTTGTGCGTCTCCCTACAATTAGAGCAGCCTTGTATTTCTATAAAGCATCGGTCCAGCTGCGAGGACCAAAGGCTCACACGAGATTCAATTAATCCGCCATTTCATGTCTCGTTTCTCCCCCCCCACCCTAAAACATATTCATGGCACCTTTTCCCTTGAAGGAAAAAAAAAGGCTGGGGCTGATGGCTGAATGGCAGCAGCAGCGGGGGAGTTCATCTCTTGGCGACAATGCCCTTTCACTGGCCGTCTAAAGAACACCCAAATTAAAAATTTCAATCAACAAAGCGCACAGATCGCTGACAAATTGTGGGTCCTGGGAGGTCACCGCCGACAGCCCTAATTTTCTTCCCCCCCCCCTCCGCAAGTTTGCAAAATGGCAGTTCTCTTTCAGCGCTCTCGGAATCTTTTTTGGCAAATCTTGAGAGCTTATCTTGTTTTCTTCCCTCTCCCCTTACCTCAATTAACATCCCTCTTTTGTTCCTACAAAGGGCGCCGTGAAAAGCAGAGAGCAGGAGAAGAAATAGTTCGGTCTTTGCCATGTGCGCAACAAAAAAAAAAGAACTGAAAAGAACAATTAGAGCTTTTAAAAACATTGATGTGGTCGTTAAGCTGCAGCCAACGCTGCTACTTCAGCTCTGTGAGATGTTTTAGATTCTGAACCGGGTCACGTTTTCAACAAGACCTCCCCTCCCGCTTCCCCCCCGGACACTATTCAAATGACCTGAGCAACAAAAAGACAGCAGGCTGATAAGCGTTCTCATTGATTTGGGCTGATCACCCCGTCTGTAAATGCAGAATTCATGAATCCAGCAGAGGAGTTTCTCCTCAAGTGCAGATTCGTCACAGGCGGTCCCTCTCCACGTCTGCAGGCGGTGGAAATCTCGACGCCGTTGTTCCCACAAAAATAAATAAACCAAGATGGGAAAATGGGAAAAAAAGGGCAGCGGAATTTTTCGCTTAGGCGTCAGAAACGGCCAAAATGCTTCGGTGCAGATCGACGTATTATAACCCCCCACGGCTGAAAACTGACCACAGCAAAGGGTCTGGATCAAGTTCACACTGACGTATTCAAGACCCTTCAGACTGCCGGTCAGGGGTCGGAGATCAGGAGGCCTCGTTCACAACGCCTACTGGCAAGTGAACGCGGATGTGCATCAACTGAACCGTATTCATGGAAATCAATGAGTCTGCTGATGTTGAAAGAACCGCAAAGAAAGAAATCTGCTGAATTCAAACATCACAGAGAACCTCATACACTTTTAAATCAATCAACACAGTCGCTGAAATAAAATGTTGGCATTGTAGGTTTCTGCAAACCGAGTATACGTTGAATCAAGACGTTTCTGAACCAATGATACGTTTCTGATAAACGTTTAGTTCAGTAAAGATCAGGGTTTGGGTTTAAATAGTAACGATACTCTTGGTTTCAAACGGGACACTAACACAAGTCTCCTGGGTGAAAGTCCTGTGTTTGACCCATTTATCAATATTTGGACAAACTTTGATCAAAAGTAATTGTGATGCGTCAAAAACAAACATAATCCGGGAAGAAATATGTTCCTTCGAATTGTATTTGATGCAGTTTCGTTCTATGGGAACGTCATTTTTAGGAGACCAGGCTGTTATTTGTTCCAATGGCTGTCCCGTCAGTTATAAGTGAAGGCAGACAAACAGAAATTCTGGTTTTAATTCTTCGGTTTCACAAACTATCAATTGAACATTTATTAATGTGGTTATCATAAAGAGTTACTGAACTTCTTTCTTTAGGTGGAGAAGTGTGACATGAAAGAAAAAGGATAAGGTGAGAGGCGATAGAGGGACTTACCCATTGTTTGTCAATCTGGGATTCAAACAATGACGTGGAGGACACATGGACATGAGGGACCGGAGGCCACGAGACAAAGAGAAGAGTCAGTTTTCACAACACATCAGTGACATTTCTCTATTGTGACGTTGTACAATTACAAGAGTTTGCAACACATCTTCACATGACTCCGTCTCTGTGAGTTTAAATGTGTCGGCTGTAAAAATCAAAGATATAAATGAGCAGCAAGCAGACGAGTTGTAAAAGCTTTTCACCTAAACTCCTGAGAACATTAATCATCAAGGTTATTCATACACAGTTCAGTCTGACAAACCGAACAAAAGGTGGAACGGAGGTTGGTCGTGTTTGGAAACCCAGAAGGACTTCATGGAATCAGTCTGTCCATCTCAACTGAACCGTCAAAACCATCTATTAGTTTATGTCTCGATTCAAGATGTGAAGTCTTCACTCACAACATTTAGTTCTCTACCATCACCGTCATGTTAGGATCTGACCTCTGGATGTAGGTTTGTGCACGTAATGCGGAACTAGAGTTCACAAGATCGGAAACTTGAAGCTGTTTCCTGTTAGCAACAAGCACGCCGGCTCTTAGAGCTCAAAGCACTGCAAACAGTCACGATTCAACAAATCCATGGTTTGATTTGACATTCGGAATTGAAGATCACAATTCAATCCAATTTTTATGTTTTTCTTTTAGCACTGACGGCCATGCCATTGTTTTTGGGAAGGTACCACACTATATGGTCACATTTAAATCATTTATTTAACATATAAAAACAACTTACTCACAATTCAATTGGGAACAAAAGATGCAGCTTGAGTTTTGCAGATTTCTTGTTGTACACCTGAATGCCCCATGAAGTGACGCAATCGAGTTCAAGCGCAAAGCGACTGTAGCGGCTGAAATCGCCAAAGAGTTCTCTGAGGGCTGCTTTCTCTCCATTGGTTGCTGCAGTCTCTAAATCTTCTATAGCGTACAAACTGAAGTTTTTTGTCAACTTGTTGACATAACTTGCGGGGAAGGCAAAATGTTGCCACACTGATGCTTCAGGCAAGCAGAAGGATTTTCCATTTTAGTTATTTTCTCCGTCATCTTCGACTCTAACGTGTCGCAAAAAGTGCAGCTGCAGGCTACCGGAAAGCTACGCTGTGTCGGCTCTGAAGTGTTTTAAGAATCAGCGATCCTTCCATTAACATCAAATGGTCGTAATCTTGACTCCCCTCGTAAGCCAACGAAGAATCATCTTCACTAAGTTGACGTTTTCGTGTGTCTACTGGCGGGTGAAGATGTTTCTTCATTTTCTTGTGTGGTGTCACGTAAAATGGACAGACTGTGTTGTCGAGCGGCGGCGGCTCGTTGGAAAGCCGGAGAAGAGAGGGAGCTGAAGGTCAACAGAGCAGCGAATTTAGCTCTCTGTCAAGCCCGTCTGCGGCCAAAGGGGTTTCGCTCTTAGCAAACGCCAAGGCTGCCGCCTCACACAGGCTTCACGGCCGTCCATTTAACAGCTCAAGTCGAGTGAACACAAATACACCTGAACCGCCCGTCTGCGCTGGATGTTCGGAGGGAAACGTGGCATTTCAGTGGCTGATCTGACGGTTCAGTGAGGCTGGAAATAAAAGACGACTGAGGGTTCTTTTAGAAGCTGATACACGTTCACTCAGCAAGGAACGAGTCTCTGATGGTGAGCTGTGAGATGCAAACTGAAAAATACTCTGTCTTAAGTGATTTAGTCTGATATTCAGCCAAGACTCATTTTATCTACAAACAACATTCTGCCAATGTTCTTGTTCCAGTTTCTCCTCGTTTCAGATTATTTCTCAAAATGAGTTCTTGTGTTAAACTAGATAAGATAAAACCGAGATCAGGGATTGGTCACACCAGCATTTATGATTTCAGACCAAAGTCAGTTCACTTCAATGTAATTACTGCAAATAAAGGGATTCCATCAGAAAAGTCAAGTACATCTACTGAACAATCCTCAGCACCAAGCCTTTCCCTCAAAGAACCAATCAGAGATGAGCAGATGTTCTCTCGTAGTTACGGCTGGTTAGTGGCTGCATGAAGTTTGTCATCGGGAATGGGTTGGCTTGCCAGACTCGGTGGTTTGTCACAAATCAGTTGACAAAATGTTGGCAGTCAGTTCTGCAAACCACGGATACGTTGAAATGTCAACCTTTCTGAACCATAAAAACCTGCTCACAGACATCGTCATGTAACAACGTAGAGTAACAACGTAGAGTAACAACGTAGAGTAACAACGTAACGTGACAACGTAACAACGTAATGTGACAACGTAACGTGACGTTTACTTTCAGATTTTCTGCAGTGACAAATCATTCAGATCTGATTTTGAATATTCAGATGGAGATGTTTGTGTGACGACTGACAGCAGTGATCCTTTTCCACCTTCAGCTAAAAGTCTAACGCGAACATAAGGAGAGAAAGGTCACGTGACAGTTAGCTTACCTCCTGACCCGTGTCCAGCACGCAGAGTTTGGAGCACTGCTTCTTGGCGTCCATCAGCACGTTGAACATGGTGCAGACCGACAGCGCCACCCTGAAGTCCGTTGACTTAGCCGCTTTTTGCATTTTGGAATCAAAGGCAGATTTTGTTCTGTAAGGCAAAACATAAAATATATATTTCTAATAGTTGTTGTTTCTCAGAAATGGCTGAAATTTAACCTATTTTCTGTAAAACTGCGACACATTTGTGAATGTTTCTGTTAAATTACAAAAAAGTATTTTTACATGTAATTTCTATGTATGTCGAAATACAATTCTAAAGAATTAGACAGACCTTCATAGAAAGCATCACAAAAGCAGGTTAGTTTTCTGAGTTTTAAGGTTTTCAGGTTTGAAATGATTATTCTCATATGTGTACTTGAGCTTGCTGATGTCAAACTCAGAAGTGAATTACAAGAGCGACAGTTGTGTTTATTTACTGGGTTGTATTCTATCTTCATAGTATAATAAAAAAAGGGATTCACGTTGGCAGATGTGTGGTACAATAAGAGAGAGAAAGAGTGAGAAGGATCCGGACAGATGTGAACCCAGAGGTCCTGATCCAGCTGCGGCGACCTCTCAGTCTGACCTCTTGACACAGGCCTCCATCATGTCGCTGGCCATCAGTTTGAGTCTCTGCTCCAGATGTTTGGCGAACTCGGGCTCCGGCCAGTGGAGGTCCAGCACGAACATCTGCAGAGCATCCAGCTTCCAGAACAAGTCCTCCGAGGTGGCCGAGCCGTTACTGCGGGGAGTGACGGAGAGGGTTACCGACGGAACGTCACAAAGACAACGACAACAACGCAGAGTCGTTGTGTTTTCCACCAAAGTGTGTAACAAATGCGAGGATCTCTATTCTTTTGAAAGACGACGAGTCCTGTAACTTACTGCTCGTCATTTTCCAAACCATTCGACAGTATTTAAGGGTTGATTGTTCCCTTTCTTTTCAGGTGTAGTAGAGTGATGTAGATATTAAACAGTGAATCGTGAATTACTTTTAATACAATGCTGATTTGGCTACCTTTCCCAAAGTGATGTAAATACATATAAACTTGGAATAACGTGGTATATTTTCAGCTTTACTTCCTCTTTCGGTTCTGGACTTTTCTCAGGAAAGTAAACATTGTCTTCCATTGTTGCTTGTGCAGAGTTGCTTTAAACAACCTTTAGGCGTATATATTTAAATGTTTTCTACATTTTGGATCTACATGTCTATGTTTCAGCCTGTGTAACGCGTTACTGTGCAGTATGGAGGGAGAGTTTTGATGTCTAAATCATGTGATCTCTGGACGGGCCATTTAAAAACAACGCTCCAACAGCTGAGGCTTCAGTTTGTTTGTTGGAATTTCTGTCTTTTTCCTACAACCAAGTTACTTGGAGACTGTATGCAATATTATTGAGAAAATTGCAGACCCAAACAATTAAGTCATATCAAACATTTTCAATGTAAATTATTAATTTCATTCCATGTTCTTCAATGTTTCTAGGGTTGATTTTCTGAAGACATGGGTCATAAACGCAACAATGTCATCAGCTGAAAATCAACACACGTTGTGGACTGTGAAGGGTTATTACTCTGCAGCAAACTCATTTCCAAAGAAGAAGAGAGGAAGAAAAAATGAATCTAAGAAGTAAAAATGAAAGGCAAACTATTCCTGATTTGTATTTAATGTGCACAAACCGGTTGGAATCTCACTGGTATTTCGTACAACCAGTGGCGACAGTAAATGTATCACAGTGAGTGTATTGAGGATCCTCAACAGGTTTTAGGTGGTTTTGATGCAGAGCTGTGAGACAGATGGACGTCTCCCCGCCTTCTCCCCTGCGAACAGGTTACACAGCAACACATGGCAACGCCTCGCCGCCACCGACATCCAAGTGTACAGCGCCCCGGCTAGAATGACAGCCACAGGAGGATGGCGGATGGCGGAGGAGGGAGGAGAGGGGGTTAAACCAAGTACCACTCGCTCCCTCACTTTTCTCACTTCGCCTTTAAAAGACTGTTACCTTAACAAGTGGCGCACAGGAATAAACGCTTTGGGCTCGAGTCCGCGGTGCAATTAAACGCTCGGCGGCTATCCCCCTCATGTCTAATTAGTGGTGCTCTTCTGTGAGCGCGCTCCGCCCGGCTCCCCGGGGAACGGGACGATCCCACTCGCCCGTCTGTGCTCGCTAATGAAGTGCCAGCTTTTTTTTTTTTTTTTTTCATTGGATCGAGGAGGGCCAAGTGAAGTGAGGTAGAGGAACAGTGCGGTCTGTGTTGTGGGAAAAAGGCTGGGGGAGTCGGAACGAGGAGCCTTTTTAAGAAACCACCACCAGCCTCCTGGTCAAGCGTTGGTGGCCCCAACATGGCCGCCAACGCTGCCAGTTCTGCTGCAGACTCCAAAACAGACTGACGGACACATTAAAGCAAATAGCAAGGATTCTAAATTGTTATTTTATTTCTAATATAGATTATTTCTTCGATTGTTTTGGGTTCAAACAACTGATCATTTAGTCCAATGGTAGACAATCAACCCTAGCAATAAGTGTAGAAGAGAACTCTCATCCGTGGCCGGTTATTTACGGTAGTACGATAGACCCACCCTACTCTGCCTCTCATTGGCTAGTACTTGTTGACTTCTTCAAAGTTTATTGGTGGAAATTTGGTAGATTAATGACTTCAACTTAGATGAGGATGTAGATGTTCTCCTACATGATTACAAAGTCCTGAAATGGCCAAAAATATTGCTATGCCTATATTGATGGAAGAAAATTACAGATTGGAGATTTAAATTTGTGTTTGTCATAATTAATCTTAATGTTGATGTGGCACACTGATCAACAAGAACATCTTAAAATGGCACTTCATGTCTAAAAGCTGCAGAACCCTGACGTAGTTGAGACGATGTCTGAAAATGGTGTTAAATGTCCATCAAACGTCTCGTTTTGTCATTTACAACGTTATAAAACACAGAAAAGCAGCAAATACTCACATTTGGGGAACTGGAACGGGAGAATGAGTGAAGATTAGACATATGTTTTCTCAATAACTGTCTTTGTTTAGTATTAATTATTAGATTTGTATGTGTTTCCTTCTGTCTTAAGGCTCGATCCCACCAGCGTTTGAAGTGGCACCATTTTGTGATGAATTCGGTTCTTTTCAAAGGCCTTGCTGCGATCAGGTGATTCATTTCACCAGAAAGCCAGAGTCTAAAATAGAGGAAGCTAATAGTTTATTAGCCGTGTGTCATCATCCATCTCAGTTTTGTTTGCTATGTTTTGAGCCAGAGGGACATTTCGCAGGGTAAAAGGAGGAGGTGGGTTTTACTGACGAAACTTCTCTCCACTTACAAGATGTCAGGTAGATTTATCCCTTGCAAGCTGCAATAGAAAATTGAGGCGTTTTATTATTACACTGATATTCTTCACATCGTGACATGCACACCACACAGCACGTCACAACATCCTCACCAATGAGTCTCTGAGGTAACAATCGCATGCAGGCGGAGCCCCGTCGATAAAAAGAGCCACAGTGTCACGGAAACAATTTCAAAAACCACGAGCCGGAGAAGAAGACGAGAATAATGCCGCATGCTCTCTGGCTCGCTGTCAGAGACTCAACAGCATCACACAGATACTGTGGAAGGACTTATAAACTTGAGCATGCAAAAAGAAGAAAAGTTTCTTGACTCTTTGACAAACGTGCGGACAGAGGAACAGAAACAGAGCTGATCATTCGGGACAGACAGTCCTGACTAGAGGTCTTCACACATAACCTGACAAAACCACACTTTCGTCTCGCTTGAATACTGACCGGTAGGAATGAAAATGTAGCAAATGTCCGACTTGAATGCGTCCTCATGGTGTTTCCTTGCAGCTCTGCAGAATACTGAGGTTCACTTTAGGACGTTAAGTCTTCTTTTAGCCGAGCTAACTACGGGGGGGAGTGTTGTCTACTCAGGTTCAACTATTGGATGGATTTCCACGAGGTATAGATCAGATATCGATGATGCCCAGAGGATGAATCTGATTTACTTTTGTTACATTTTCAATTCATGACAGAATACATCTTAAACAGCTTCTGTTAGACGTAGCATGTTTAGCTTCAGGATGAGCACTTTTGTCAGCATTCCATTTATGAAGCATAATACTGAATAAAAAATATAACTGAAGGTATATACTGTAAATATACACTGTATATGAATATACATAAATAAATATATATACATGTTCGTAAGGTAACATGGTAGCCTACCATGTTACCTTGCTAATGTTCATTACAACTGAACGTAACATCGTAATGCAACAACAGAACACAACAATGTAACATAATGTAATGTAACAGCAAAACATAACGATGTAATATAACGTAAAGTAACAACGTAAAGTAACAACGTAACAACGTAATTTAACAATGCAATGTAACAATGCAATGTAACAACGTAATGCAACAGCTGAACATAACAATGTAACATTATGTAATGTAACAACGTAATGTAACATAACGTAATGTAACAACGTAATGTAACATAACGTAATGTAATGTAACAACGTAATGCAACAATGTAATGTAACAACGTAATGTAACAACGTAATGTAACATAACGTAATGTAATGTAACAACGTAATGCAACAACGTAATGTAACAACACGTAATGTAACAACACGTAATGTAACATAACGTAATGTAACATAACGTAATGTAACATAACGTAATGTAACAACGTAATGCAACAACGTAATGTAACAACGTAATGTAACATAACGTAATGTAACAACATGTAATGTAACAACACGTAATGTAACATAACGTAATGTAACATAACGTAATGTAACATAACGTAATGTAACAACGGAACGGAACACTGGAATGAAACAGAGTAATGTACTAATGTAATGTAACCACCGTAAAAAAGTAACTAGCGTAAAGAAATATAATCCGCCCTTAGTGGACTTTCTTTTGTAACATTTTGTTACAACCGTAAAAACGTAACATAATAAGCGTAAAGTCAACGTTGACTTTCACTTTCACATGGGACATGAATAGCAGTCTGCTAAGTCCTGTTTGTTTAACCCGTCCACCCTCAGTGGACTTCCTCTACGTTATCATTTTTAATCATACAACATAACTCTCAGGGTTCAGAGCCGGAGAAGGTAACAGACCAGAAGCTCTACGCTGGCTTCAAACTAACGGAGGCAGCACATCAGCAACTCTATTGTCTGAGTTCAGGTCTGGGTATCTTTTACTTCTGGACACCATCTTGTATTATTCTTGGTTATAAAATTCTCAAACCTTGTGAAGACCTCTAGTCAAGTCTACCCCCCCCCCCCCTCCCTACCCCTCATACATACGTGTTCTCACACAGCGGCCCCATCCAGGCGGGTGCTGAGAAGCTGGGCATCTGTGGCAGCGTGAGAGGGAGGCTGGGGACTTTGGGAAGAGGAACGCTCGCTAGATTGTTAGTTAACGACCTGCCGGGAAGGAGTCAGTGGAGAGGTCGATGCATGGCGGGAAACGAAAAATGTTAAAAGAATGAAAGAAGAAGTAGTGACAGTAACCACAGCGCGCACACACACACACACACACACACACACACACACACACACACGAATAGTAACATATAATAGCAGCCACTTGTTCTGCCTGCAGTAATTGATCAATAGCAAACACTATTAAAAGACAGAAAAGTCACTGCTCTCTTCTATTCTATTCTATTTCCTTTCAGTTTAGGTGTGTTTGGAGTACGAGTGCAGCTCTCGCTGCATTGTTCCTGACTGCGTCATGTCCTTGCTGTCTGAGCTTTATGTTCAGCTCTGTCCTGTGCAGCGTTTGGTTTGTTCTTTGACTTTTGTTTTCTGCTACATTCATGCAGCAGCCAGTATGACACCTCAACAAACCATCGCTGATGAGAGTAAACAAAAGGTACAACTGACAGTGAGAGATGGAACTGACCGAGCTCGAGAAGGCCAGAGGGGAATTATATCAGATAAAGACTATTCAGAATAAACACTTCATCTATCACTTAAATAAACCACTCTGGCTCAAATGCCCATGGAGATAAAATCTGTAAATCTGTTCACTTTCATTTGAAACTCAGTTCTACCGAGTGCTCGCTTCCTCTGCACGACGTCGTACCACACCTGGAGCCCCTCAGAAGCCGAGAGGTTTGCCTGTCCGATTAATTTTGTTGATTAAAAACAATCCTACGGGCAACACAAACCGGCTGCGTCTGCTTTGTACCTGAACGCACCTTTTTAAAGCTGCAGGTAGCGGAGCCTGTGTGGGAGAGAACTATCATCACTATACAGAGGATTCTTCACACGACATCTAGCGCTCATCGCTCATGGCGGCGGACTCTTACTTGACTGACTGCCAGGTCTCCTGCTCAAAGCCGCGGTGGATGGACTGGGCAATGGACGACTCCATCAGGTCGATGTAGCGCACCACCAGGGGGACGAACAGGTCCTGCAGGTGTTTGTGGAACGTCCCATTGCACAGGTGAACTGTGAGAAAGAAGACCAGGTGAGCAAATGTGATACCATTTAAATGAAAACAGACAAACCAGACTACAGAGTGTTGATATAGAGTTTGATTTGTTACAGTAAGTCAGCGTGTCAGTTGCCTCTCGTTAAATGCATAGTGGCTTTTCAAAATAAACTTCCATCTTGGTAAACGACTGCAGGACTCCAGTCTGCAGACCACTCATTGTGCTGTTCAACCTGCCCATTCGGTCTAAACTAATTAATGTGCACTCACACACAAATGGTAAAGCCTTCGGGAGCAGTTTGGGAGGAGTCGATCTTCCAATTAGAGGATGTCCTGTTCTACCACTTAGTTAGGTTTAGAAAAAGATTGTGGTTGAGGTTAACCCGAAGACTCATGTGACTAACGAGTGCCTAACAAGTCACGTGACTCACATTATTAATATCTTAGTCCATTTAGAGTCAAACAGACCATAAAGCACGGTATGCTTTAGGGGCGGGGCTACACGGTGATTGACAGGTCGGCATCATGGCGTTGCCGGTATGGGAATTGTCCATGTTTTCATCTTCCAACTTAAGCCCTTTCACAGAGGTAATTGTTAAATTTTGGTCACCAAAAAATGTCTAATTCAGCGTTCGGTTGTACTTCTGGTTGCAATGATAAACCAACATGTCGACGGCCAAAATGCTGAACTCGAGGCTTCAAATCATTAGTCCACAAACCAAGAGGTGACGTCACGATGACTACATCCACTTCTTATACACAGACTATGAGCAAAACCTGAACATTACAAGCCTTTCAAAAGCATAACTTGTACTTAAAGGACCGACTGTGACTGCACAGGTGTTGGTTATATTGCGTACCCCCCCCCCCCCCCCCCAACCCGTCCTTGTAGGTTTGAAAAAAACAGTGAAACAGACAGATGAATCCCCAGAGACGCTGACAGTCCACAGCGAGTAGAGACAAAGACAGACAGTGTTGGGTAAGAAGCGAGCCGGCTGGTCTCTCAGGGCTTCATTAGTTGTAATTCCTCTCGCTCTGCTCCGTCATGAGTAACACTAGCCTTTCTGCCCTCCAGAGAGGGAGGAACCAGCCTCCCTCGCTAAACCGCTCGCCATCACACGCTGACAATCAAGTGAGCATTTAAATAATCTACACAACGACTGAGAGGTGATACACTTCACGATGACAATCCTCAAAGAGTCGGTGAGTTTATATCGAGTCACCTGAGATTGAAAAAATTTGAGAAGTCAAGGATCGTCCATAATTCATCAGTGTGAGGTTCAGAGAAGGCAAACGGGAAATAAACTTCATTATCCTCCAAACCTTTTGTTTTTTTACTTTTGTCACCAGAGTCTGTGACTGAACTCAAATGAATCTCTCGCTTCAGAAATAATTATCAAAAAAAAAGCGAAGACCTCATTTGTGCAAACAGTCAAAACTATGATTTCTCCAGTTCTGTAATTTGGCTTCTGTCTGTCGCCTCATTACGCTTCAATTTAAGTTGACTAATGTTGTGACACTTGGAATAATTACGGCATTAACGCAGAATGGTAATTAGAGAAAGAAGTAGAAAAGATACGAGCGACAAAGAAAGAGATTTTTTGGGTTTCTTCACATAATGAAACGCTGAGTTTTTTGTGTTCCCAGTGGTGCCCTTGGGCTGTCTGTCTGCCTGTTACTGTATTCGAGGTACTTTGGCATCGGCCATGTTAAATAACGCCTCGCGTCTCGCCAAATCTCTGCTGGCTCCCAGACAAAGCCTCGGAAGGTGACGGAGGGCTCGGAAGGAGGAAACAATGAGACGATTATTTTTTTCTCCCCAACAGTCAAAGTCTGAGCAGCGAGCCTCTTCTGTTCATCGGGGAAGGAAACATGACAACAACCTGAAATACAGCAGCGCAACGTTTTCTAATCTGAAGTTCCAAACATCTCTTCTTAGGTTTTTGTTCGCACCGTTGTGACCTTGAGGTGTAGAAAAGCACATTACGAACATAAGTGGGTGTGGATGTGTTCCAGAAACATGGTTCATCGTTCATAAATCCACAAAATAAATGGAAAATGATTCTGGAGGTTTTTGTGGAAATGATGAAATCTCACCTTTAAGTTCATCTTTCTTGTATTTTCAGCTGCCATCTTTTCTCAGTGAAGTTTGACTGATTCAATTCATCTTGTTCTCTTTATAAAGTGAAGCACTTTGGATCAACGCTTTATAAATAGTTAGTTGGTTGATTGATTTAACTATGAATTATTAACTATAAAGGAAACTAACAGGAGAGATGATCACGTGTTGATGTACAGATCCACAGATGACCAAAGAAAACATTTCAGAACACCTTATTTATTACACAGGTACACTCTGTTTAAGCCGCCATGTTTTTTTCTATAAATCGTGGCTAAAACAAAAGCTTTACATCTTTATATCAACATATTAACATTCAGACCAAAAAACTAATCACGACTCTTAAACTGTTTTTTAAACAGTGTGCTAAGTCGAGCTACCTACTGACAGGTATACGGGTCAGCTGACCGCGTCCCTCCTCCGCTGCTCGTGTTAATTACGTCTCAGCCGGAGTGTGCGAGGTGCCGTTAACCATGTCTCTTAACAAGCCTTGTTGTCTCTACCGTCACCCGTGTTAATTAGCGCTCTTAGCGGAGAGTACGATAGGAAACTAATGGCATCAGCGGCTGAGCGAGGTGGCCAACGGATCACAAAGGTAATTGTTATTTATGGAGTATTTCTATTGCTCTGCAGGTGAATCTTTGTATTAACCTGTTGTTGAAACAATCCAATTACCCCTAGTTCATTATTTTAAGTTATGCAGAAGGTGTAAACTTCATTACCCAGAAAGAAAGTATGAGGCGAATTTACTAAAGTCCTTTTTCTCAGTGAAAGTGTGTTTGTGTGGTGGGAGGTGAAGGTTGTAGAGGCGAAGGCAAGTGGAAACTTCAATGTCTGAAGAGTGAAGCCGATGCTTCATGTCTTAAAGCTGCATTCTCTCTAGTGTCCACCAGGGGGCAACTCCTCTGGTTGTATAGAAGTCTATGAGAAAATGACTCTACTTCTCTCTTGATTTATTACCTCAGTAAACATTGTAAACATGAGTTTATGGTCTCAATCTCTAGTTTCAAGTCTTCTTCAATACAGCATGATGTTCATTTAGTACATTATGGTCCATTTAGAGTCACACAGACCATAAAGCAGGGGATGCTTTAGGGCGGGGCTACACAGTGATTGACAGGTCGGTATCACAGCATTGTCGGGTCTCAGAGTTGTACGTGTTTTCGTTTTCTTACTCTTTAAAAAGACGGAAACTTTAACTCTTTCACAGCGTGTTTTTAGTTCATGAAAGTTAACTAACTTATTCAGCGTTCAGTTGTACTTAACTCCACCCTCTGATGCAAGGAGACGGCGGCCAAGAACCAAGATGGCGATAGCCAAAATGGGGAACTCAAGGCTTCAAAACGTCAGTCCACAAACCAATGAGTGACGTCACGGCGACTACGTCCACTTCCTATACAGTCAATGGGTGGTTGTGAGATCAGTGTAAAACTAGAAAGAATTTCTTTGGATTCGTTTTGGATCTTTCACTTTCTGATTTTCCACCAGAGAGAAAACTGAAAGAATTTAATTTGGAGAGAATCTGCAGCAGCTCTGCGTGCGTGTGTGTGTGTGTGTGTGTGTGTGTGTGTGTGTGTGTGTGTGAGAGGAGGATGATCTCACTGCTGAACACACTTGTTGGTTCAGAGCCCACAGAAACTGGCAGAGTGAAGCTGTGATTACAGGCAGCGGGAAATTATTCACTGAACCGTTACTGACACTCGGTTGGCCGACGCCTCAAATCACAATAAACCTTCTGCGGTGAACTTGATCAGCTTAATTTCCGCTCCGCAAAAGAAACAAGCGGGAGTTTGTTGCATGTGCGAGAAGGATTGTAACAAAGAGGTCACAGACTGATGAAGGCGCGGCCGATGACTTTGTAAAGATCACAATCTGCTCTCGTTTCTTCATGTCACACTGAGTGACCTGGTTTTACATTAATTGTCAATTATCAGTTTTGAGTGGCTTCTGTAGAGTTACTTTGTCTGAACTGAGGCTGTGTGTATCAAACCTAATGCAGCCTGGCTCACTACAGTACGGAGAGAGATGCTGTACACAAAGAAGAGATCTATTCCTCTTGTGGGTGCTGCCGATAACTGTGTCACGACTATCCTCATCCTCTCCAGACCAGTAGAGTCTGAGCGGTGAAATATATCACAATTTTAAGCTTCGTTTTGGTCGATTTCTCTGATGGAAGTGTTCGTCGCACTGGATGTGTTCAAGGACCGTCGCAAAGATGAAAATCTGAGATTAATGAAGGATTTCACAGCTTCTGGCTGTGATAAACGGTGTAGTTTTGGCAATTCTTTAGAGAAAACATGCTTTTCAATCCTGCCGGCGGGTTTTGGGCATTCAGCTCAAAGCACAGCTGAGTCCAACAACATGTGGTCAGAGAGTAAAGGTCAAACTCACGGTCCATTCGCAGGAAGTTGTTGAGGAGCTGGAACAGCGGGAAGCTGTCCCAGGAGTCGACGGGCTGGACCTGCAGAGCGCCGTCCATGTGGGCTCTGTACAGGGACAGAAAGGCCTCGGCGTGTTCGGCCATCAGCTCCGGCCACCACGAGAAAGCCTGAGAGACACAGAGAGAGACGTGAGACGAGACGACATCAGAGGAGACACAATAGTCAGATAGGTCGACAGGAAGTCGTCTTAGTTTTGGTACAAAGACAGGAGCCAACTCACAACCTGTTTACATGCAACACCAACAACATGCTACATGCTAGCCACGACCACCTTTTACTAACCTTAATCAAGTGGTTATTACTGTACTATTACTACTACTATTACTACTTCTACTGCTGTTGCTGTTACGACTGCTACTACAACTAGTATTACTGCTACTACTACTACTTCTGCTGCTGCTGCTGCTGACCACTTGCTCTTCCGTATTGAGCACCTTTACCTCAAATATATATTCGGTGACTTTCCATCTCCTGCAGCTTTTAAATCATTATTATTATTATTGTGTTCCTTCATCTTCAGAGTGGTTTTACCACCAAAAGCTGAACTTTTCCAGATTTAGACATATTTATACAACAGTGAATTAAAACACCAGGACTACACACAGGCGATCGCCATTTAACTGATTAAATGGCTCCACGAGTGTGTCCGATTAACTGGGGTATTTTTGATATTTAATGAATTCAAATCACTTTGACATTAAAGTGTCCTTTTCTGTAAATCAGCATAAAGAAACCTGATCAAACAACATCTCAGGGGAGTGAATCCTCTTCCTCAGCACTGTGTGTTACAGTGTGTCTAATGTCTCGTGAAGGTCCAAAACGTCCCGGTCTGATTAAGAAAGCTGACCTGCTAAAAGCTGCAGGAATCTGAATAAATAAAGGCAGATGCCAGAAGTCTTTAGGTGATGCTTTTAAACTGAAATAGAGGAAAAATAAAAACACATCCAGAAGAAACGCTGCATTCCGACTGTGTGGCTCTCCAGCGGACAGAGGTCGGCCTGCTCAGGTGAACGCTGCTGTTGAAGACTAAAGGACATCCGAGAGAAAAGTGCAACCGGCCTTGAATCCCATGCTGATGCATGGAGGTCAGCATTTGTAAGATGTGAGACGGGGAGAAAAGGTGACACGGCGGCGGCTCGTACTCATTGGGGCCTTTCAAACGCGCCTTTTCAGTTTCCTTTTACTGACAACAAACAGCATTAAACCAGTCTGACGAGTCTCCAACACTCACTACTCTTTATTCTCAGGGCATTGGTTTCAGTATCGGCTGATTGTAAAGATCCGTCCATCAAGAAAGACAAAGAGACGAGAAAGAAGCAGAGGAGTCAAAGAGACGAGACATGTAAAATGCAAGGACGCGAGAGCAATAAAGGACTATCAGAGAGACAGATGAATGGAATCAAGATGTGAAAAAGAGGAGAAGTAAAACAGAAAGAAGGTTAGGAAAGGCAATTAAGTATGAATGAAAGGGAAGTAGGGTAACAGAGTCAACAAAGGAGGACTGGAAGAAATTAAGAAAGAGCAGAGGAAAGAAAGGACGAAAGAAAGAGAGAGAGAAGGAAGAATATGAAAGAATGAACTAAAATGAACAAGGAAGGATTGGAAGAGAGGAGGGAAGAAGAGACCGAAGAAGGGAGGGAAGGAGAAGAAAGAAGTGACAAGTTAAAGAAGAATAGAAGAAAGAACAACGACTGGAAGACATTCAGAGTGAATGAAAAAGTTGTGTTAAGTGTACTTTGAAGAGCAACAGTTGTTTCTCTCGGCATCAACAAAGTAGGAACATTATAATAATTGCTCTATTAATAACACAGTTCTGTTTAGAAATTGTGTTTTTCACAATAAAAACTGAATTCAGTCGTTAGTACCACAAGAAATCCTTCAACCTGTTTATTAAAAACGCATTTAGGTTTTTGAGTAAGAAGAGTCACGTTAACTCAAACACCACAGCAGCAACAAGAAGACGGTGGGCAAGACGCATGGAGAACAAGGTCTGATGGAGAACAAGGTCTGATGGAGCTCTGGATCCCACAAATCAGCAGCAATACAACAAAAACACAAACATGGGCGACGGAAGACTGAAAAACTCACCTCTCTTCCCTTCCCACGGTGGAATACAAACAAGAGAAACAGAAAGGAGCGTCAGATCAATTATAACAACTGGAAGTTGAGGAGAGTTTTAAACTTTGACCAGCAGCAACATGAAGCATTGGCTTCACTCTGCAGAACCAGATGTTTGCTCCTGGTTAGCACGTTAGCAGAGCAGCTGTAGCAACAACAGTTCTGTGTTTTAGCTGCGACAGAGTTTAGAGCACACAGCTTCAGGACGTCACCGCGCTGATACCAAGCGCTGTGACTTGTTTCTAATATAGGTTTTGTAAACTCTATAACCGTTTCTACAGTTTTTAACAAGCCAGGGAGATGGTCTTCAGTCTCTAGTTGAGCGATTTAGAGACTTAAAACTGTCTTCACAGTGGTGTTTCAGCTGATCAGCTGCGGTAGTAATCAACAGTGAATATTCAGAGCTTCAGGTGGGGGGTCGGGGAGTGGGGGATGCTCATCCTGCAGTCTTGAGGGATCGCTGTGATCTGAGGACGATTCTGTTTTCTCTTAAGTTGACTTTTTTGTATTCTGTATTTGTTATTGAATGAGAAGCATTGTTGGTGTGTTTTATGCGTGTTTCTAATCTCGAGGGTGTTAAAACACAAATGAATATCCAATTACCAAAATCCACCAGCTGGAGGAGGAAAGATTCTGTGAACTCACTTTAAAATGGAGTTCAACACGTGGACGTGCCAGCAGGACTTTATGACATCACAACTAGTTTGGAGCCAATCACGTTCCAATAAGTAAAAAACCTCCAAAACACAAAAACCCTTCCAGAGAAGCAGGACACGTCTTTTGTCCAGCAGCCAAACTTTGAAACATGTCTTGACAGCGAAGACACCGCGAAGGACGATAAATAAACGAGACGGAGCGAGAAGTAGAACAATTATGATTTATCTCTAAATGTAATTGTGACATCTTGCAGCGGCGGCACAGAATAATAAAAGCCTCTAACGTGAAGTCAACATCACATCTGAAGCCCGGAGCACAGATCCAGCAGTCACCATGGCAGCGGAAGATAAGCGTTATAAATAGATCAGAAACAGATGCCGGAGCGCCGCGCTGCCACTTAGGGCCGATCAGAACCGCCACGTCTCAACACCTGTGATTGATCAGCTTTACACCCGTGCGTTTGGACCGTGGGCGTCGTCTTCACTGAAATGGACAGTGCTGCGAAAAGTGATCAAGAACGTTAATGAAATGATCAAGTGTCTGCTGCCGTCACTCAGACCGAAAGAGAAAAGACAATAAGAGTTTCTGCTGGAGATGAAATGGAAAAGGAAGTTGAAGCTGTTGTAATAAATACGGCAACGCGGTAAAGGGTTGTTCTCTTCAGCAGCTCAGCTAAACTCTGAGATTCTGTCATGTAAAAGTTATTCCATCAGATCACTCTGCAGAGATTTATTATGACTCATGTTTCACCAGCTGTTCAAATCAGATGTGCATCTTTTATTATAACTCCTGAACAAAATACTGTTGAATATAATAAATCCCAAACATGAAGGTATTCCGATTGAAAGAAAACTTTAGTTGTCCATCTCTGTCGTCTCCAGCTGAGTGCGGTAACTACTCGCTATACAGTGGACTTTACCACGAGTTTGCCATTTTTTAGTGTTGTCTGAATCTACGGTGAATATTTAGTGGACTCAAAGTGTCCCACAATGCATTGCTCTGATGAAGATGGACGAGACGAGATAATATATTTATTGTGAGCAGAGTATCACAACACAAAAACAGCCACGAAGTACTTTATATAAACTAATTTGGGAAATTACATTGACAACGGCAGCGCTTACCGCTTTACTCCCGTCCTATCCTTTCACAATAAAAGCCCTAGATCCAATACGCATCACTGTTCAGCAGGGGAACTTAAATTCACTCAGAGCATTTAGATAAGAGGCCACTCAACAGAATATCTCACGGTATTAACGGCGCAGAGAAAATGACCCGAGCAGTGACCTGTGTGTTTTTTTATTGTGGCGATGAGCTCACTATATGATCCTCCATATAAAGACAGTAGTGAGAAGGAAGCAGTGAGACCAACCCATGAAACACTTTGGTGTGAATGTGGGGGAAGCTGGGTGCTGTGATTTGGCAGCTTTGCCAAAACATTTAATTATTTCTCTAAAATAAAAGTAGAGAAAATCAACAATGGAGGCTCCCAGTGTAACTTTAATAACAATAACTCTAAAAGTTTATTATAGGATGCTGTCAGAACATGAGGTTTTGAGGTCGGAGTAAAAACACCGTTCTTGAGTTCTTGAGATATTTTCTCCTTCAGCGTGAAACAAACCGAGTCCATAGAAACAAATCAAATACCTCGGAGTGATGTTCCTCGTTCTGCTGCAGGACTTCGATGCAGAGCTCTCCCAGTCTCATCATGTCCTCCAGTCTCTTCTCCGGAGCTGCCTGAGGATCCGCTGAAGGTCCGAACACAGCAGGAAACACACGGGGTAGAAATATCAAACACTCGATTATAATACACGTGACAATCGGGACCACGTTTAAACCTCAGCTGAAGGTTTGCTGCTCGATTAAACCGTATCATTCACCGCTGAATGCTGCTGATTTCCTGCTCCTCACAGGATGAACCCTTTGGATTTGAATGAACCCATGAATTAATTCTTGCAACTTCAGGACAAACATGACTGAGTCCTCTGTCTGCACATTGTGGACCGCTGCACTTTAGTCTTTAATGTTGTGAACCAGTCTCAGTGTAGTCCTGATCCTTTATCAGACCTCCATCAGTAAAGAGACCATCAGAGAGAAGGTGGTCTGTTTCTATAGAGTTACTCTTGATGCTCGTCATCGGAGCCACCGGGTCGGATTCTGGTGAAACCAGATGAACTCATGCAGGTTCACCAGAACCTCCTTCAGCTCAGACTCCAGCAGAGACCGGTCCACCGTGGACAAACCCAGACCCTCCAGCAGAGACCGGTCCACCGTGGACAGACCCGGACCCTCCAGCAGAGACCGGTCCACCGTGGACAGACCCAGATCCTCCAGCAGAGACTGTCCACCGTGGACAGACCCGGACCCTCCAGCAGAGACCGGTCCACCGTGGACAGACCCGGACCCTCCAGCAGAGACCGGTCCACCGTGGACAGACCCAGATCCTCCAGCAGAGACCGGTCCACCGTGGACAGACCCAGATCCTCCAGCAGAGACCGTCCACCGTGGACAGAACCAGATCTGGCCTCACCGCAGCCTTGGACCTGCAGTCGGCGCTCCGGATGGAGGAGGAGGAGAGCTCAGCTCCCGGCAGCACCAGCGTCTCCTCCTCCTCCTCCAGCGAGTACCAGCGTGTCCACAGTAGAAGATGCATTTTAAAAAGTGGATTCATCACATCTTCTTCTGGGCTTTCCTCTCAGTAATTGAAACGTACTGAATCACTGATGTGGACTCGTCTGAACAGTTGAAACTCTCTAAACTCTCACCTTTAATCTGAGCGTACTCCATCAGCTGACTGTAGTTGATTTGAGCTGCGTTCTCCAAACATCTCTGCACCAGTTTCTTCATCTCCTCCTGAGGAACCGGCGTGGTGATGTCCTTCATCAGAACCTGAAAGAACACCAACAACGGCCACATCGCGGCGAATAGTTCAGAGGGGTTTGTTCAGATATCATTCATAGCCTGATTTATACTTCATTTTGTTGCTAAAAATATGGAGAAAATTGATTTTTTTTTATGTCTGTTTGAAGTATTTTCTAATTTATGGAGTTTAACTTAAGATAGTAATTCATGTACAACAGCTTCCTAAATTACTTACTATCAATGAGGAATTAGTAAATCTTAGTGAATGGGCTAGTAGTAATCATGCAGAATAAAGCCTTAATAAGTGCTCTATAAAGAGTCATAAGTAGCCAATGTGCCACTAATATGCATGCTAATAAGCACCTACTAATGGTGAATATGTGTAGCTCAATATAACGCTCTATACATAACCTAAATACGTCGATTCCTTATTATTTAGAGCGACGTCGGAGGTTTTTCTTTCAGCATCATTCTAAGATAATTTGATAATCATTGGCTCTGCTAACAGCAAGTTTGCACCAGCGTATTTAAAATGTGTTGCCGTACCCGCTCCTGCAGGGAGAGCGTCGCCTTCAGGGCCCCATCTGGTCGTCCAAAGGGAAAGCAGTACCTGCAGATGTAAGAACGTGGGCGGTCATCACATTTAGAAACAATGTCAAGGACAACTGTGTGTGGGGGTGAAGAAATAATGATAAGAAGAATAGGAAGATGGAAGCAGCGGCAGCAAGACGTCAGTCGGCGTCAACAGATGGCTGCCTCCTCTCCTCTAATTACACCGATGAAGGAAGCTTTTCTCACCTTGGGCTCCGTCTGAGCGCAGACGAGGAGGTTCACGAGGTTTTCACGTCGCTAATTGACAAGTGAACAGAACTAAATAAACAAAAGCATGCGGTCGCACGGGTCAGCCATTTATTGGACAAAAACCTACAGGCAGATGTTCACACTATATTTAAAAAGTATTATCAAGCAGTTTGAAGATTCAGTTCATACTTCCAGTAAAAGTCACGGGTTTGTGATGTTCATTTCCATGAGAAACATGTGAAAGAGCAGAATATGTTGACGAAGGCCTGAATTGTTGATGGAGGTGATGCTGTCAGGTGTTCTCAGAGCAGCACCGGTTTACTGACGTACGTGATGTATGAACATCTGCAGTATTCATGTGTGACATTTATGAAACTACTTAAGGGGAAATTAAAATCAGATAAAACAGTAAAAAATATCATTATCGTTCAGGGGGTCAGTGCGACTGTGGGACAGCTCTTAAAATAAATAAATAAAAGTCCTTAGAAAATAGTTTGCGACTGTGATCATTAAGAACTGTAACAGTTATTTAATGCACTGGGCATTTTGATATGTTTTTGCTTCCATAACTTTCAGACTAGAGGAGAGAAAACCAAAATAAATTAAACAAGAAAAATCCAAAATATTTTACTACTTTGTCTGTTTACATCTGTAGATTTCACCAAAAGTTACCATTACATAATGCCTCATTTGCATATTTAAACATAACATGTCAGTAAGCTTGTAATAAATACTTGTGACTCTATTCACCTGTAGAGTCTTCTTAATGTGAGTGATGAAGTGGTGAAGTTT